CCTCGTCTGCCTCCTGCTCCTCCGCCTCCTCCTCGCAGTGTTCCCCACGGGACTTCAACCGCCAGCTCCGGATGGCAGTGTTCCTCGCCGGACCTCAACCGCCAGCTCCGCCAGCTCTGGCAGTGTTCCCCGCTGGACCGCAACCGCCAGCCAGAAAGAATGTCAAACGAGATGCCAGAAATAATGCCAGAAGATAATGCCAGAATGAATGTCAGAAGAGATGCCAGGAAGATCCAGGAAGAATATCAGAAGATATGCCAGATATAATGTCAGAAGAGATGTCAGAAAAGATGTCAGAAGCTATGCTAGAAAGAATGTCAGCAGTTATGCCAGATAGAATGCCCGAATGGGTGTCAGAAGAGATGCCAGAAAGAATGTCAGAAGATATGTCAGATAGAATGTCCGGAGATATGTCAGAAGATATGCTGAAAATAATGTCAGCTGAAAGAATGTCAGAAGATTTTGCAAGAAAAAATAGCAAAAATGTCAGAAGACATGTTGGAAAATCCAAATAGAGAATGGGTGTCGCTACGGGATTTTGTTGGACATGTTCCAAATGTGGCTGGTGCCTGCCCGGATATCAGTCAGGTTCCTGCCGACAGATGTCCAAAGAGTGACTGTCAGTCGTCTCCATGGTCTGGCATGGACGCTGCAAAACAGCAGACAAAAGGATCGCGGCCTTGCAGACATCTCAAAGCCTCAAGGCGGCCATGGTGAGCTCGGCCGTTGGAGCCAAGCGGGTATGGGGTGAGCTCTTCAACGGTCGGGCCCTTACAAAAGCAGATTAAGTCAATTCAGCTGGCTATGTCACCTTGCTGTCAAGGGATTCCACAACCGGGCACATCGCTGACTTGAAGTACCATGCCTGCCAGAGATTCTTGAAAGCACTCCACACATGGTGCCACAAAAGGCCTGAAGTGGTTGTGGACGTGGGAAGCTTTTCTCTGCGGGCTCTCAAAATAGCTTTGTGAGGCTTTGATGCTGTCCTTGCCGACGACGCTGTTTGTTTCTGGGAATGGCACTATGTCCATGCCCGTGGAGTTCGGTGACCTTTATGCTCATCAAATGAGGCAGGCCTGGCGCCGGACTCACTTCTTGGAATGGTTGTCCGGCTCTCGCGTTGATGCAACAACGCTTGCCGGGATTCTTCAGCAAGATTCTCCGAGCAGCTTGTGGATGACCTTCGAAACAGCCCACACTGCCACTGCTCACGAGGTGGCCGCGCTGTGTGGCGGCAATGAAGCCGTGACTCCTAGCACACATTGTGTGCTGTGGAGTTGTAGCTCTCTCTCTCTCTCTCTCGGCGCTTCGGACTTTGTCTTACCCAAGGGGTGATTTCCTGGCCCGTATGGCTTGGAATAACGATGGTGTCGTCCTCCGGCAGAATGCCGCTGTTCGCAAAGCCGCCGCATTTGTCCGGCAGAAACGTCGTGTATCGTGCGAAGACGTCTTTTCGGTGACCCTGGGGGGGGGGGCATTCCTGGTCTAAGGATCTCTAGAGAGCGGCCGTGAGGCCGGGCGCTGGCAGCTACCACGAGCGGTGCTGCTGCGACTTATAACCCACCCAGAAAAGTCGAAATCATGCTTCGTCAGATTGAAATGTCATGGTGGGGATAACTCGAAGTAACGTAATTTTTAATGTAGTGACACCGCCGCACCCGCGTTCGATAGAGGCCTTGATGGATGACTTGGAACTACCGTCCAATCGCGCACACCTCTTCGAAGTTATCGATGCGGATGGGTCCGGAACGCTTCATATCCAAGAGCTCGTGCAGGGTTTATTGAAGCTTCGCGGGGAGGCCAGGCCAGTACGTGTTGGCATGTCGTGGGCCATCGTGGGCCCATCCCAAGGTGATTGATTTGTCACATCCAGTACTGAGAGGGCAGTGCAGTTGGAATTGGTAGCAATCCGGTCCTTTGGTACCTGTATATGTTATGAATGATGGATGTTGCCGTTAAACCCTGAGCTGAGGTGAACAAAGGCGATTGCGTAGCGCCGCTCCTGGCCACAAAGTCTGTCCAAGAGATGGTATGTTCCTTGCGCACAGATCAGCACACAAACTTTGAACGGATCCTTCGATGCACAGCACATGCAGTCAAAACAGTTGATGCATGTTTTGTGATCGAAATGCGAGATAGAAGTGACGGGACGTCCTGTTCTTCCTCCATGGAGTCAACCGCAAATCATTGGCGAAAATCAATAAGATTCGACCTCCATGTTGAAAACAAACTCAAAGGGTGAATGACGATGCCCAATCCAATTGTCCTACCTTTTGAACTGGCTGTAATGCGGTAGCTGCTGTTGGTACATGGGCGCCATGATGGATAACAAGGTTTCCTGGAGGTCCAAATGCAGGCCTTGCCACGCGAAAACATCCGATCCCTAAACAAAGCAGCTCTAGCATGTCAATATAAAATTAGTATCCTTTTCCTTTACAAAATGCAGAACCAAAGACCCCTTTCTATAAAGCAGACAACCGCTCTGCACCCAAATCAGGGGTTGGATTCTTATTTCAGAAAACATGTTTTTCTGCCTGATGACACGGAACGTTTCACTTACCTAAGATGGGAACCCGGTAGAATGATTTTATATACAGAGCGCTTGCGATGAAGATTTGGTAATGGAATGTAGCGGGTTCATATGGATGTTCTAAAATTTTCTTTGCCAGAAGGATGCTCAAGGATGGAGGTGGTTTGAACATGTTCGAAAGTGAAAGCCACCTAGGGAACAGACACACACTGATTGCTTATAAAATGGCCCCTTGTGAGAATTTGAGGCCAAACAGTGAAAACAGATGAAGACAACCATCTTTTGAAACCTGCACCACCAGAATTGGCTTTGAGAACCGAAAAAGAGCAAGCCGGGGTACTCATGTCAGTCATGCTGGATGCTTTGGGGACATCACCAAAAGCATGTATTCGAGCTTTCCAATTCCACAATCAAGCCCAAAAAAACACATGAAGGAAACATTACAGACCCATGAAGCAGCGGCTGCGTGCAGAAACAGCAACCCACCTTGTGCACAGACACGCTAAAAAAACAGTGCCAACAGATGAGGAAAACCCTTTTTACAGAACCTGCACCTCCAGAATTTGCCCTTAGACCCCTAGAAAACAATATGAGGTACTTGTGCCACTTAGCCACTTAGTTTGGATGCCCTTGAGGCACCACCACAAACAAGTTTTCGATCCATTCCACAATTAAAAACGCAAACAAAATCAATTGAAGAAAACATCTCACGTAGCCAAAATGTGTCCGGATGCTATCTTGTGTTTGTCGTTGGAACCCGGGCCCTTCATGCTTTGCAAAAAACAATGACATTCAAGACATCTGACAGAAGCCATATGCCTCTAAGCAGTTTTAATTATAATATATAAACATGTGGATTTGCATGTTATAGTGGTGGCACCCATTTCCACGCATTCTTAAAACATGTTTTTATAACGTGAAATGCCGCAGGCCCAGCAGATTCCCAAGGGGATCCTTATTTTTTGTTCAGTGCATTGTGTTTATATATATATATGTTTTTCTTTTATGTATGAATGTATATATATATATATATGTGTGTGTGTAAATGCACATGTAGATGTAGATGTGAATGGTGGTGTAAAAATGTATCTATATACTTACATGTTACATGTTGTTATATATACATTATATTGTAGCAAAGCGTCATCGGTTGATTCAAGAACTTTGGGAGGAAACTGGTCCTCAAAGTTGATGTTTTTAAAGACCACACTCTGAACCAGGGGGCCGGGGATGGGATCTTTACGTGAACAATGGACGTTTTGCATTTAACATATTTTAACAACAGTTGCTGTTATCGTTGATTTCAGTCCAAATTTGGTTTCTAGGATTCATCGAGAGTTGCTGCTCAACAGCTACAAGCCTGCCCCCCTCTATGAGCCAAAGCGGGCAGAGTCCGAGTCCGAAAGTCTTCCCTTGCCAGTGGTGTTGACTGCGCCAGACAGCACAGCCAACAGCACAGCCAGCAGCACAGCCAACACAGTGGAGAACCCATCCGGAGTGATTTCGAGGACCATGTTTGTGGATGGCAGTTTGCTAGTGCAAGACCAGATTTTACAATGCTTTGACTCGTGGTTCTACAGCAACCCTGAACAAGAGAAAATTAAGAACGTTTCAGGCGGGTTTGCTTACAGTGTTTTTTTTGTTTTTTCTATTTGGTGGTGGTTTGGTGCATGCAGGCTGGCCAAGCTACAACTGCCGGTCACCGGTAAACCAGAGATTGACATGCCACCTGAGCCTTCGCCAGTGTTCGATTGAGACGTGGCAGTTTCACAAAAGGCCCACGCGACTCCACCCTCTAAGAGGGAGAGTCGCCCACTTCCATGGACGTGAGCAGTTGCAGCCAAGCTTCATGAACTATGTCAATGGAAGGTGCCGTACCGTAGTACCCAAATGGGTTTTGATCGACCGGGGATGAGCTTGAGCCATTTCCTCTTGAGGCCGGCCAGATCTGTCGACCACAAAGTGGGCAGAGTGCGGCTGGACGGGGAAAGGGTCGGCCCAAGACTAATTAGTCCATGATGATCATGTAAGATGTTTGTGATTTGCTCAGGACACCTTTAAATGGCATTTCCTTGCAAAAACCACCCTTCCAAATCCCTCGGCATTTTGACTCACACCCGCTTTCCGTGAGAATCACGGTTGCTGCCGACTTGGCAAAACAGGATCAATAGTGGCTTCGCGTCAAAAGTGCCCGAGGTACGGTCGGGAAGACTCACAAAGAGCTTTCGGACGAAAGACTGGCTTTCGGTGCATGAGTTCGCCCTCATGATCACAAGTGAACTGCTGATTTTGGACGTTCTATGTGGGTAGAAAGGGGAATGTAAAACAATGCAGCTGCTGGTTGTGCAGCAGTTGTTTACAATGTATTGGATAGTATTAGTATATATATATATATATATATGTATAGACTGAAGAACTGCTTTGTTGGCAACTGTTTTGGACTTCCAAAACGGGACGGCGAATATCCGAGGATTTCGAGAGAGCTTCTACTCCAAGGTTGACCAGAACAGCAGGTGACTTGCTCCACAGTAGGTGCGTTGCTCGGGAAAACCACTCGACCTATAGCGACGCATCGCGATGCACGCTGCACGGACCAACCGCTGCGCATGACAAGCTTCGTTTCCAGGCGAGGACGAAGCTGACGGATTGAGTGAAACAACTTTAAGCGCTTGGAGCCACGTTCGGCAGTTGAGGACATCGTTTTCCAGTCCATTTTCAGCCTGGGCGTACTTGCATGGAGTGGACCCATCTAGGCGACCCCCGTTCTTCACGGCATTACGTCAGTGGCTGACAGGTGCTCAGCACCGAACTTCGATGGACCAGGTGCGTTTTCGATTATTTGTCTGGTGGTATGTTCGATATCCCCGCAGCATCTGAGGATGTACTTTCATTTTCATGCATTGGTGCCTTTCCTGGTGTATCGTGTGAATCTTCTCTCAGCCACCTTCATTGCTGTGATGACCATCATAGTAGCTTGACGGCGCTGGTTCTGCAGGGATTGAATGAGGACGGGGATCATTCAAAAGAGCGAAACAATACAGCACTTACCACTTTACTCAGCACTTCTTACAGACCCTTGATCCTGCGAGTCTATAGAGTTGTGGGGAGGCTTGGGAGACAAAAAGCTGGGGGCGGGTAGACCTAGGCGCTGCATTCAAGGTGATGTGACAAGCACAGGACACTTATTGCAAGTTCTGTTTGCATCAATTTCATTCAATTTCAGTGGATTTCTCTTCCAAAGCCTCGCGCGGGACAGTCTTGGCAATAGATTAGCTCCCAGGGTTCCTTGTTTGCGGTCAACTGTTTGTTGAAGACATCCAGAGGCTGTGTGGTGGGGCTCATAGGGAAACCCATGGAACAAGCCGTGTTTTTGCCCGTGCTTTCAGAACAACAAGTTGCGCCGGTGACCCATGGATTTGAGGTGATCCTCTTCCATCATCATTTGGAACCCGCACTGGCCGGCCTTGCTCTGGCAGCTTCGGCCGGCCTCTTGGGACGTTTGCACCTGCTCCTCGGACTGGGCTCCTCCGATCTGACACATGTGGTGCTCCGTGGGCCAAACGTAATGGCCAAACGCGTTTCGTGTGGAGGGATTTAGCATGCATCTACCGCAAAGGGGATGAAAGGGGAGGGGAAGGAGTGAGTTTGGGCTCAGGCAGCCAGCTGTGAGGAGAAATGTTTCCGGAACCAGGTCAATGCATTCAAACGTGGTCACTTTGCTAGACTATGCTAGACTCATTGCATAATCTTCAGATTATTATTAATATGTCAATAAATGTATTTCTAGGCTATACAAATTACAAGCTTTCTAGACACTTCTGGAATAGTGGCCAGATTGGTGCGTGACTCTGTTGACTCCTGGAGCCTACCACACACCTTAGGGGAAGACTTCCCCTAGCTCATGCGCACACCTTTGATTCGCTGATTCATTCGAGTATCTTCCAGCATGTGGCATCTTTTTGAGCTAATGTTTGAGGACTGTGAAGACTTCTGCAGATGTGGAGAGCAACTTTACGTCCGTGGAAAGGCTGCGCTTTGCCTGCAACTTCTTTACTGTTGTCCTTTCTCCTATTCCCTGGACACCGGAAGCCAAATTGCCATTTCGCCACCTGTCGTAGATGAGCTTCGACAGCTCAGTGTGCTTGTCCACAGCCCTGACCCCAAGAATCAGCGGCATTCCGACGTACTAATGATATCTCATGATACGTTCCATAGAGATCCTTCATGATTCGACTCGTCAGGGGACTTCAGCGCGGTGACATCGGGTCGCCTCCGGGCGTAACCGGTCTGAACAGCCCAGCCCAGGCAGCACTTCAAGAGCGTGCCACAAGAGAAGGTCCGGAAACACCAATGGGCGAGAAGGACCACTGCCCCGTCAACCAATCCTTAAAGCACTTGTGCAAAACATGTTTAAAACAAGGTTTTGATACTGTGCCAAAAATGGGTTGGGTAGATCCAACAAGATGATTGAGATGATTGTTGAGATTATCAGTTCAGAGTTTTGTATTACGCTAAGAAGTCTTCGACAATATTGACCTACTTGCCCTCCACAATCCAGCGCAGGTGATGGTGGCATCTCAATCATTGGCAAGTTGGCCGAGCAAAGGATCCCTGGTCTTTGAGAATGTGAAGCTCAAGCCCCTGGGTTGATGTGCAAGGAAGCGGTCCTGGGCTGATGATGTCTTACCCACATGTACCTTATTTGAGGGGGCCTCCGGTTGAACCTAGCATTTGATACCTACAGGTACCAAATGGGCCTTTTCTTCTAATGCAGTTGACCTGTCTCGGTCACGCACCATAGGTATAGAGCACCATAACAAGAAAGATCATGTTTTGGAGTCGTTGCCGTTGGGATTCGTTGCCCTGAGATGCCAGAAACCAGGGGGTTCTTGCTGCAATGCAAGGGGTTCTTGCCGTTCGTGCCCTGAGCTTGACGATTGTAGGATCCATCACTGGATCATATAAATGCTTATATATATATAAAAACAACTATATAATATTTAAAGATAGATATATAGATAGATATAGATTAAAGGTACTAGTACTCTTTGAGTTCAGTTGAGCCACACAGCTGAACATACTGTATCCATGTTCATGCAGACTTGTACGACAGTAAACTAGTAAACAACAATATGAGGCAAGGCTACCACTACAAGCTCCAGTTCCACACTTTGTGTTATCTCCAGTGACCAGGTGGCTTAACATTGACAAGCTTTGCTTCAGGAACAGCAATATGTTGCACCCGCCCGCCTCGGATGTGTGTGGGTGGAAGGGAGGATGGCCAGGATGCTATCAGCTCAGGGAGGCTCCCTGACTGGTAGTTGCCTGCAGCATTTGTTGCCAAAGGTTTGGAAGGGATTGCCAAAAGTCGTGCATGTATGCATAATTAGATGTTTAATATTTGAGAATATTTATGTAATGAGATATATATATATATTTTGTATATATATATATGTAATCTATATAGTATACAATTTTGTGTGTGAGCACCTGTGCCTCGCCACATGTTCTCGATTTCGCGGGCGGCAGCCTGGCTGTCAAAGGTACCGCCCACACTTGCCTTTGGCCACTTGGAACGCCGAAAGGCCGCCGAAACGCGGCGGCGCCGCACGTCTTGACGGGCTGGGAATGAAGCCTGAGGCATAAGACGCATGTTGATGATTGTTGATGCATTCGAGCGAGGGTCATCCATGGGTCACATTCATCCAGGTGAAAAAAGAACACCCCATGTATCAGCCTTAGATCCACGCAGATTTAAACTTGCCATCACTCTTCTGAAGCCGACATTGCATCAACAGAACTCACCCAGAAGCATCCACAACCAACCAGAGAACATAAAAGAAGCACAACAACCAATAATCATGAGCTTGCTTACCTCTATAGTGTTGATAGTGTTGTTTCCCACAGCAGTGACCATATTTGCCAATAAGTATTGTTTTAAGGCTAGAACTGCTAAAGGCTCTTCCATTACTCCGTTCTGGACTTGGCTTTCCCAAACAAACTCTTGAGGTCCTCAAAGGGCTCACCTTCTCAGTGGCGGCTGGACAACGAGTAGGCCTTGTGGGCCGCACCGGCTCGGGAAAGTCCACCTTGATGTTGCTCGGACCGAGTTGACAGAGGTTGGGGCAGGGTCAAGATGAAGAAGCTTGAGAAACGAGGCCAAGTGGGCAACGCAGGTGTTTATTTTTTTCACATTTTTGAATAGATAGAGACTCGATAGAGATTGCAGAAACATGATGCCTCGTTGATGCTGCCTTCGGAAGTGCTTGACCATGATCTGGAGAACTTTCTGCCCAGTCTCAGCGCACAAGCCCATGTGACTTGGTCCCCAAATCTCCAGACCTGTGATGCCTGCGTTCGGAGTGAGCATCAGCGGATTGGCGGAAGAGGGTGTAAGGATGAGAGTCTCGTTCTTGGGTGTATGTTTCATGGTTCCGTTGGTTGGGTTGCGGGTCGTGGTGGCCCACGCATGAAAGCTATAGCGATAGCTTTGGATGTTAAAGATCTTGCTTGGCTCCACCGGATCTCCTCAAGCAGCAGAGTTCCTCGGCCGCCCACTGAGGCTGGCGCTCTTGCGGTTGGTCGAGCTCACTGAAGGCCCAACCGCGCAGACCATGTTCCAGGTGTGCAGAGAATCCCCGCAATGATTGCTTTACTATAGGAGGAACCTGTGAGTTCACGAGATGTCACGTTTCTGTGGGGGTTGGGTGCCAAAACTTCCAGAAGACAGAAGTCCAAAATCATTGGAGGCTCCAGGTCTTGATCCGACATTGTTGGACCGTGTTTGATGTGTGAGCTTCCTTCAGCAGCGTGTACACAGCAGAACCTCTTTGATTGTTTGAGCACGTTCTTCTTATCATTTAGTAAAGGTCGAATTTCCCTGCAACCACCGTTCCATAAGTTGTCCTGATGTCCTTGGCTGGAACTGGCGAATTTGGTCGAGTTGTTCATTTTCTATAATGTTCTCATGGTTTCCCTTTTATGTCAACATGTTTCTTGGCCAACAGAGGAGACTCAAAGTTTAAGCACGCATTAGCGCGACTGCGGGATGTGTGACTTTGAAGCGCTTGATGCTTTGCTGCGGCATTGGTTCAAATAGATTGGTGAAATTCGGTCACTGTTCTCGCGCCTACAAAGCCGGCGCGCGGTGCGAGAGAGGAAACATGGCCGCTTGGCCGAAGTTATGGCAGAATTGGTAGAGGTGAAACATCGGATGAAGTGCAAGCTGTTTAACTGAGCACATTTCCCGAAAGTGCATTTTAGTATCAAGCTGCACATGTTTCTGTGACTGCTGTTTTAAGCTTGTGGAACGGTGGCGAAGTCGTGGTGCAGTGCGGGGTTCGCCAAAACGGCTCAGCCCCCGGCATGGCAAGGTGCAAACAGATGGTCTGACCGGTGAGGATGACCTCTACATGCGCCTGCAAGACCTAAAACGTCAGATGGAGTTCCTGGATATTCAGGCCTCTTGCCCCCAGAAGTGCAAGATGTTGCCAAGATCGTGAGTGTCTTTTACCCTGCGCATATAGAACGCAAGGCAGTTTAGGAAAGGAAAAGCTTGGGTTTGGAGCTTGGGGGCTTCGACTCCTAACATGTGGCCATGATGTAATTCTGCTGGACGCACCAATGGACCAGTACAGTATGAGGAAATTGTTGGGTGTCTTGTTGATTCGGTAGCTGCCGAGTCAACTGGGGACTCAAGCTTCATTTTCGTTTGGGCAGCGACCGGCGACCACCACTTACTGTAAATGAATAGGTTGCCGTGGCGTCACGCCGCAGGAGGAATACATCAAGGATGAGATGAAGAACCTGAAGCGAGAGATGATTAGAGCACAGGATGCTTTGAATGATTTGACTCGGTCAGAAAATCACTCCGCGAATCAAATTTGTGTCGTGTCTTGCCGGGACTCGGGGATTGCAACGAGCTACGCAGCTACACAAATCCTCAAAATCTTGTGCTTGATGTGGGATGATGTGGGTATTGTTTAAATTAGGCAGTTGCTGCTTTGCTAGCCTATCTCAGAGGAAGCTCACAACTGGACACAGGGTTCACAACTGCCCATCTGATTGCAGTTTGCTCAAGATATGGCATGACGGCCGTTCTGAGGAAGAAATAAAGCGAGTGCAATCGGTGCCGCTGGTGATAGGCCGAACGCTTCGAAAGAACGGACACTTCGGTCACGGAACACACTCTGTTGGTTCCAATGTGCATCATCATCTGTTTGTCGGCAAAGAAACCACGGCGCAAAACGGTTTTCCTGACTGGATCTCACCATTGGAATGTCCGGCACTGTGATCGTGTCCTCCAGGTCAGTTCAGCGAGATGATCGACCAAAGCCATGGGATCGTGTCCTCCACAGCGGGATCCAACTATTTTGTGCGGATCCTGAGCACCTTGAACCGTGAGCTCTTGACGCTTGGTTGGAAAGTGATAGGCTGATAGGCTGTACAGATGGGAACAACTTGCTACTTGCAGTATCTTGCAGGCATTCAACATGCATATAATATATCATCATATACATACTTCCTATATACATGTTCTTAACTTCTACTTGAACCACTTCTTACTTCAGCTTCAGAATGGCCGCATACAATTCAAAGGGAGTTGGAAGGTGGGTCATCCATTGCACAAAAGCAGTCAAAATGGGGAGGACCATCATTAGGTGATTCTCTGTGTTTTTGCAGGGTTCTGATAAGTTTTGGAACTGCAAGTTTGTTTGCCCGCAATCTTGACTCAGCTTTGGATCCTTGTTTGGTTTGCCTAAGGAAGCCGAACTGCTCAGTGGCACTGCACCGACATTCACATGCAACCTGCCTTTGCTTTAGGTCTTTGTGGTTGGGAGAGCCGATCTGGTCGTCAAGCTGTGGCATGTTCTCGGTTATGCTTGACAAAGTTTTTTTTAATATGTGCCCGTGCAAAATCTTCAGAACCAAATGAGGTGGCATGCTCTTGCGTTCATTATTTTTCATTTGTTTTGGGGGAAACTGTAGACACTCACGGGAAACCCATGAGAACATCGAGAGAAAGGAGTGGCACATGGGACTCTCGGTTCAAAATCACATGCATTGAAATGGGCCGGCCCCTTGAAACTCCGTGTCCTAGAAGATCTCCAAGATCTGCCACATCCTGATCCCTGTCACGGACTAATCAATATGACCGATTCTGGTGGCCCACCGTGAATCTGAAAGTCTTCACAGCAGTTGAAACACTCCGTTAACATCCATAAACATCCACAACCCGAAGAACTCCCCAAACCTGCTTTCATTCGCAGCATCCATCCTTTTCTCACCTCAGGCGGTGGTGGACATTCTGCCCCCGGAGGCCGATAGCACCGTGCAGAGCATGGCCATGTCCGAGAAGCCGGACGTCAACTATTCCGACATCGGCGGAATGGACCCCCGGGTGGTTGTGGGGTCGGGAGGTGGCGTTCGGTCGGGTGTTGTCGGGTCCGGTGACGAACGTTTTCACGCGGTGACGGAATGTCAGGACATCCAGAAGCAGGAGATCAAGGAAGCGGTGGAATTGCCACTGACACACAAGGACATCCGTCTTCTTGGTGCGATGATGTGTGGGGTTCCTGACGCACAAGGATCCACCTAGATTGTAGATGTTTGTCGTTTATGCAGAAGGGATGCAGAAGGGATATGTTTTGTTTGGGTTCCCTTCCACTGTACCCCATTCCGTGCATTTTTGAGACACATGGGGCGAAGAGCTTGCTGTTTTCGGCCAGGGGCATGCACTAAGAAGTGCTTTTGGAGTGTTTGTTGGTTGCTCATTTGAGCAGCGTTTGTTGCCTCAAGCATGGGTTTCGTTTGCTGCAATAGGGTATGCATGGGTATCCTGTCATGCTTCAGGCATTGGGATTGAATGGAATTGATATGCACATTGATATGCATTGACATTGATGTTCTTGGAGAAGCCTGGACCGATCGCCAGGAGCTCTATGCGCAGATCGGCATTGATCCGCCCAGCGGTGTTTTGCTCTACGGCCCACCCGGCACAGGGAAGACCATGTTGGCTAAGGCGGTGGCCAATCAGACGACGGCCACGTACCTGGGCAAAGGAAAGGCAACATCAAACAACAAATCAAAACCCTATATGATGTTTGCATTTTTTGTTAGTATGGAGGTTAGAGCTGACTGTGTCGCAAGCCCCTTACACGCTTAAAATTCCTAGCGACGGCTTCTCCAATGTGCAGGGACATTGCAAGGCAAACACACTTGTACATAACAAACGGACAAACAACGTGGTCCACACGCATTTGAGAGCCATGTTTTGAACTGCGCTCAGGTTCATTCGCATGGTGGGCTCCGAATTCGTTCAGAAATATTTGGGTGAAGGGCCACGCATGGTGCGTGACGTCTTTCGCTTGGCGCGTGAGAATGCCCCCTCCATCGTGTTCATTGATGAGATTGATGCCATTGGAACCAAGCGGTTCGACTCTCAAACGGGCGCAGACAGAGAGGTGCAGCGTATCCTTTTGGAGCTTCTGAATCAAATGGATCCTGAGCTGATGTTGGAGGCTTTGACCACACCCGCCCCGGTATCTCATATATTAATAGTACTTCATAGTATTTCTATGGATTCTAGCACGTGTCCTCGTCAAGCGGCAAGCGTTGCTGGATCCGGACGTGCTGTAACTCCAGACTCTTCCGACCTTTTGTTCAGATGAGAGAAACAGTGCTGTTGCTTTAAGCAATGGCGGCACGGTTCGGGCCTGCAATATGACAATGTGCTTGCAGCATGAGGTTCCCTCCTGTTCCTGGAAGCATGTTTACATGCTTTCAGTTTCGACACCGTCAAGAAAACAACCAAAGGCTGAAACAGAAAAGCAAGGTACATTAAATGTAAGACGTTGTTTGTCTCTCAAAGATGATTAATGTTCTCGCTCAGGACGGCTTTGATCAGGACACCACCGTGAAAGTCATAATGGCAACGTGCCTTGGACGAAGCCAGTGCGCCTGTCCTGGCAGGGCTAGATGCGGGGGATTGAGTTCTCCTGGAACAGGAGATTGGATGTACATGCTTGCACAGTTTCCAAATTTAATATTGAATTGAATTGTATTTATACTGTGGGGTTTGAAGATAAGATACTGGATAATGATTGGACAAGAAACGCATCTCATAGGACCGGTGGATGCTTTTGTCTTCATCATACTCCAACTGAAGTGACTGAAGTGCCGCGTTCCCTCGAACATGGGAGACACATGAATCAGTGACACTGATCACTGATCCCATGTTCCAGACTTGGGATCGTCTCAGACCTCAGACGACTTGGGCGTTCACATGTTGCTTCCCCAAAGCTCCCAGAAAGCTTCACGCTCGGAGACGGGGTGTTTTTAACCAAGCCACCGCTCCCAACAAAGCAAGTTCCATAGAGTCCAAACAGTGGACAACAGTTCCAACAGTTCCAGAAAGGAGGGGTTGTCCATTTCCACAGATATGTTTTGACTGCTCCTGTCTATAGATGCACGAAACATTGCGGGATTCCCACTTCCTCGCATGACACACATGTCCAAGTCCCGCGCTTGTTTGTCGCGTTTGGTTCCCAACTCCGACTCACATGTCGTGCGTTGGCCAACTCGATCGGCCTTGGCCGACCGGACGGTGTCGAAGCGGGCGCAAACAGGAACCGCCACGACACCTTGGATCCGGCGCTCTTGCGCCCCGGACGCTTGGATCGGAAGATCGAGTTCCCTCTGCCGGACCGACGTGCCTTGGATGGATGGTATAGGGAGGTGTTTTTGCTCACTGTTTACAATGGATTCATAGTATTAGATTGTTCTGAACTTGACCCACAATCCCGAAAGTGTGTGCGTTTTTTGAGGGGGAGGAGAGGGCGATGAAATGGTCAAACGATGTGAGATCTGTGGCCTTTCGATGTTGGAAGACCTTGTGGGTTTTGACTCAGAAGAGTGCAGTTTCCGGACCCAGTGTTGCTAGCTGCGGATAGGACAGTAGTTAATCAAGGTAAATCAAGATTGAGTTGCATCGTGCTCTCCCCTGCTTTAAGGTTACAAGTGTCAGACTGTGCAGGTTCCCAAGTATTGGTGCGACTGTTGAGGTCAGCCAGGATGTGGGCATTTCGTTTTGCGACGTTGTGCCCAGGTCAGAAGCGATTGATTTTCCAGACGATCACCTCAAAAATGAACCTGAGCGAGGAGTGAGCAGACCGAATTGCTGAGACATGAGAACCAATTCTTTCTATGTCTTTCTTGCTTTCCATTGATGTTGTTGTGCACCGCTGTCTCGCCTGTCACGTTTCATTTGCAATTCCTTGCATTCACACGCTCAGCACTACAACAACCAGTGCCAACTGCCAACCCGTCTCTTTATTTGTTTATACAAATTTATACAATTCCATTTGTTTTGGCACTTAAGTCTAGGAGATGGATTCATAGCCTTTCTGACACGTGAGGAGGTGGATTTGGAAGATTATGTCTCGAGACCTGAGAAGATTAGCTGCGCCGACATCGCAGCCATTTGCCAGGAAGCCGGTCCCTTGGCCTCACAAAAGTGGTGGGGAAAGCGGGAGGGTGGAGAAGCGTGGGCGGGTTGCCGGTGAAGTTAGAAAGTTCAAAGAGTGCTTTTTCGTTAGTGTAGAGAAGCTATGCTACTCACTACGTCTAATCAGTACTCGATCGTTTGCAGTTCAGCCGCTCAGAGATTGTGAGAGACGCCTACCATTTAACCTCTCAACTTTGCTATGCTTGTTGTACGACTTTCTGAATCTCCTTTTTTGTCGCTGTGAATGAATAGGGGTATGGAACTTTAAGGTTCCTCAGGAAGGTCAGTTTATGTCAGTTTATTATTTGTTTAGACTGTTCTTGGGATGGCCCGGGCCTTAAATGGGAGGAGCATGGGTGGGTGCTGCCCCTCGTGCCCCACTGAACATCCCACTGCAGCTGCAGGAATGCAAGCGGTGCGACACAACCGCTACGTCATTCTACCAAAGGACTTCGAAGCTGGCTGGAAAGACCATGTGACCTGGCCGCAAAAAGGCTGCACACGTAGAAAGGAGAAGGATGACCTGTATGTTGAATATGTTGGTGTGGGGATCATTGTGTAGACAAGAGGGTTGGTTGTGCTGCCAGCACCTTTCAGGCAAAGAAGAAGGATCGTGACTTCGACTTCTATGGCTTCTGAGTGCAACACTGGCAGCGACCAATAGTGATGTATAGGTGTCCACTTGCACTGATACCCAAAGAGCAAGGAGGTTCTGGCAGAGTGAAGCGCAAATTAAATGGATTTATGGTCCAACTCAGCTGAACCTGATCCCTCCTGAATGGTGTAGAATTGACAAAGGCGTCTTTGGACGGAAATATAATGAAATATATATTATTTATATAAACCCGTCACGCGGAACTGTCGGAATCTTCATGGCAGCACCAGATTTGCCGCGATACCGGATGGTCTTCATTTGACATTTGGAGCACTGCTACAAAAGGAGCATAAGAGAGAGAGAGAGAGAGAGCCATTATATTTTTGTCCGGCGCTTTGAAAGTCTCTTACGCCCGAGCTTCCTCCCATGAGAAAGGACGCATTTACACCTCACTTGCACTTTATAAAGTGCACCAAGACTACTCACCAGATTGGGGCATGATGAACTTGAGAATCCTACCAATATAGGTCATGTGACTAATGTGATATCATACATACATATACATATATACTGATCATTACTGATTACTCTTCAAGAAGACAAAGCACCCGAAGACCTGAAGTCAGAGACAAATAAACTGAAGTGAGAGACTAGCACTCGAAGATAGTTGATGGGGTTCACGAAGAGGATTTGCTAGCGCAGTCCTGGCAGGCAGGGTGCTCCTGGATGATCAAGACATCTCACAGGCCGAACACCCTTGTGCAGTGGTTCTTCAAGGGAAAGGCTGTCCTTGGCACAACTGCTTTCAATTGGAGCTCGGGGTTCCATGTTCTTTTGTAGGTCACCGTGGTTTGTGGAAATGCTGGTGCAGGACCCTCCCAAAACGGAAGCTGTAGAATAGACCGTGAAAAATTGTGTTCCCAAGGGTCCCAAGGGTTTGGCACGAACTAACTCACAGAAAGTCACTGGATTTTTACAACGGTCTCTATACGTTCAGAGCTTCATGCACACAAACAGCTTGCTGTAACGTGACAGTTTGTCTTGCAAAGATGCTGTAAGTTTGTCCTTCTCCTTTTTTTGGCTCTTTCGACCCCTGGTTGTTGACCAACGTAGCGGCCGCCTGTATGTTCAGGTTCCCTTGAACGTGCTCCGGGGCCATGCCGTGCAACTCGGACGCTTTTGGAAGTCCAAGCGGAGCGAGCCGGAGCCATGAGGCGAAGTTGTCACATGTGCAAACTCAGACGTGCGAGACGATGCCTGTCGCAATTAGGCACATAGGTGTTCGGACGGTCGGAGTCGGAGGTGGCCTGCATTTCACAGGTTTCTGAATTCAGCGAAAACGATGGATTGATTTTACAATCAGAAGCGGCTTCCAATTTCGTCTCAGAATTTGGGGAGCTCTAATCTTGTCCTCCATCACCATGGCGCCAAAAAAGGAGCATATAACACGAACAAGTAGCAGTTCAGGGCAGGCAGGGTTCAGCCAATGGAGTATAATCAATCGACTTGATTAGCCATTAGCCACTTCTTGGACTTGTTGTGACATTCTGCAGTGTACTAAACCATTACAATATTATGGCACTCTACATTGCAAGCTGCTGTCATGGACCAGAAGATGTGGCTGCTGACTGATGCTTGGAAATACCTTCAAGTGCTCCCCTCTCTGGCCTAGGTCGATTATTCCGCAGGATCCCTTTCTCTTTGCTGGTCACGTGCGGGACAACCTGGACCCTTTTGGAATCTCGGAAGTTGACGGTTCCGCACATTTGTTGGGGCCAGGCTTGCTTGGGTGGCCAAAGGAACTGAGAGAACTAGGATGTGTTGTAAGGGTCCCCATCTATCGTGGATCATGTGTGTGTGTGTGCCACGGCTGCCACACTGAAGCAAGAATAAAAAAGATTAAAAAAGTATATAATCAAGTTGGGTCTGACGGTCTGTCCTATTACTGTAATACCTGTAACAGTCAGTAAACTGTAACAGTCAGTAAAAAATATAAATATCACTATTTTATCTATTTTTGGACAAGACCTCTACTAACCATCATCATCACTACCATCATCATAATCAAGTATATGCAATTTGTTTAATGAATGCGCCTGTTTTGGTGAGAGTGCATTACCGGCGGCATACACGCTGCCGCCGGTAATTGACGGAGCCTTCGCTGGTGCTTTGGTTTGTTTTCAACTTCAGATGACGGACTGCCTTAATCCCAAGTACCTATTTAGAAAGCCTATTCAATTAGAGAGCCAAAAAGATGGAACCCACGAACCCGAATGCAAACACGTACTCGAAAACAAACATCCAAACAATGTTTGACTCTCTTGTAGGAGACACTCTTGTGGGACACTCTTGTAGGATGCATTCTTTTCGGAAACCTTTGTGAGACACTCTTGTGCACTCTGGTGGGACACATTGTATGACACTCACTTTTGTGGGAGACGCCTGAATCTTGTCTGACACTCTTGTGCAACACTCTTGTGGGACGCTCTTGTCGGACACTCTTGTCACTTGTCGGACACTTTTGTGGGACACTGTTGTTGGGCACTACTATCTACTACAAATCTCCAAAAGTCAACCGCCAAAACGAGCGTTTCGTACGAGAGACTTCCTCCAAAAGTCACATGTTAAAGTCTTCAAAGCGGGCATTTCGTTCGAGACTTACTCCAAAAGTCCAGCGGGAAGCCCCATCGGAGCACACACATCAAGCAGCCCTGCCAAGCAGTTTCAGGATTCCAGCCCCTCCAAACAACACCCGCTCACAGGCCAATCCCAGAATGTCAGCGACATTCACCTCCACCACAACTCCCAACCTCACATTTTCCTGCGCCTGCCACAAAATTTTGCACGTCCACACCTCCAACACACACAAAGTACTTCGCCTGCCACGCAGTGTGACCTCCGCCACACCTCTCAACTTCACCATTCCCTGCGCCTGCCGCGAAAATTGCACTTCCACACTTCATAACCCTGTATAAACTACTGTGCCTGCCACGAAAAGTGACCATATCAGATCATGTTAGCTTCAGCAAAATTTGCGCACGTTCTGAGCACACCCCCATCCACCAAGATCGCCATTTGAGCTGAGACCTGTCACGAAAGCACAGCTTCGAAGCAACAGCCTGAAGCGCAAATCCCAATGTCACAGCCACATCCAACACACCAAAAGCACCACCCTCGAAACGCCAATCCCAATGTGACTGCACAGAGAACTGCGGATCTAACAAAACGCTGCCGCCCTTAAAAGCCGCTACTAAACTACTAACATTGTCGATTCTTGGAAAATTTACTGTTTAATGTTAATTAGGTGCCAAAAGCAGCCATATAACTGCCCACCTCTTTCCACCCTGCTTGTCCATCATGACACGCCGGGTTTACACCAGCAAGTTTTCTTTCCCGCAGTGGCATGGACTCACGCAAGCGCACATTCCACCGAGGCCGTGAAAAACCGCATGGCACAGCAACATCACCTTCCGAAAGCTTTAGTTGTTGGTCTAATGTTAAGACTTGCGACGACAGGCAACCACTGGAAATGTAGATTTATTTTTTGTGAGGTCCTGAGTAGGGAACTCAGCAAGAAAATAGTGAACATAGGTTGGGGTGTTCGTGCAACATGTGCAAAAACAGCAATCAAAAAGTGATTGCGGAGACCTAGGAAAGCAAAGCATGGACAGGAAAATAGTGAACAAATAGCAAGAAAATAGTGAAAAATAGTTAGCATACTGACTGACATATTGTGAAACGCCTCCCGAAACGACACGTGACGTTTATGTATTAGGTTTCGATTCTGGATGGTTTTTTTGATCACATTTTGGCAATTTTTTTGCTTTCTTATTGCTTTTGGTATCCAAATAGTTCAATCAAATCACCTTTGGATCGCTTTTTGCTCACCTTTCCGCTCACTATTTTTTTGACTTGTCCCCTATCCTGCACTCTGAGATTGCTTTTCGTTTGCTCCAACTCCTACTCCGAAATCACTAAAAAAACTATTTTGGCAACCCTCAGCGGTTGGCTGGACTCCATCTCTTAAGTCCAGTCTAATGAAGAACCACTATTTCAATCAAGGTTTTTGCAAAGGGAAAAGGAACCTTTCAATCTGCAGGTGTTGTTCATTGTTGATACGAGCTTAAGGATGTTATGTAAAACACATATGGGCGACTTTTCGGTTTTGATTTTTTTCTCAGGTTTCGATTTTTTTCGGGTCCCCTATTTGGGGGACTGCGCCCGGAATTGTTTTTGTTGGGGGGTGCACGGGCAGAGGGGGGCCCGTGTCTTTAGTAGGTGGAAAGTGAATACTCTCCGGCTTGCGGTCAAAGCCATTCGGCCGCTTGCAGTGTTTCATGTGCAGCATTGCTCGTCAGATTGCCCGGGAAAAAAACCTTGCCCGAGACCGATTTTACCAGCATTATAAAGAGCCCGCGTCTGGCCATCGCATTTGCAGAGGAAAAACTCAATGAGTCAACATGCAGCACTTATGTTACCTGAGGAATGTCCACGGAATCTGAGCGCCTAGGGGCCTTGAAAATGGTGGGCTTAGAGGAGCTTTCAGCCACATGGTGGGATTGAGCGTGTGCACTAATTATATAGCTATATAATATAGCTCTTTCTCAGTGACTTTAGAAGGACCCAGCACGCTCAAATCTGATGGCTGCGATGTCAGAAATTAAATATGACACCAAACGCAATGAACGAGTTATGGTCATTGTGCCTGGCTGGGGCCTTCAACAAGTACGTAGATTTTCTGATAGCTGCAATGTTTTGCTATGTTACGCTAATTTAAATCTACGATGATTTCAATCAAGCAACTTATAGGTTCCCTTGCTTCTAGATTGGTTTCTCATTCAACCCATCAACCTTTTGCGCTGCATGCGCCGGCATGTGCTCAAGCCAACACAACTGAGCTCGTCCGAAAGGAGTGGGCTTTGGAGACTCAAGTCGAGAGCCGCGGAGCCAACTTCTCAGAGCCTTGGCAGCGAGGAATCGACCGATTTGGGCATCGCTTGCACAGGAAATTGATGTTTGTTTTTCATCCAGACGATCCAGACGATGCAAATTCAGGGATTTGATTTATTTGGATGTGCTCGTTGTGTTTCCATGTTTAAACACGTGGCCTTTTGGTGATCCAGTCCATGAATTGCCTCACTGGACCCTACGTCGTTTTTTTGCCCTTGTGCTTTACAGTGGTTTCAGGGCAAATGGCTTTAAACATTCTTTAAGAGTAAGGGCAGTAAGGGGCTCTGTATAAAGGAGGGGTATTTATTTTTGGATTTTTTTTGTTCTTTTTTGGATTTTTTTTGTTTTTCGTGGCTTCTGGCTTCTGGCTTCTGTGGCTTCTGGCTTTTGTGGTTTTTGGCTTCTGTGGCTTCTGTATCTGTCTATACCTATCTATTTCTCTTTCTTTGATTCTTTCTTTTGGCAGCTGTTCTCCTTTCTCTTTTTGTATTTGCTTTTCCTGTTGTTTTCGTTGCAGAGACGAAACAAGCAAGCAAGCAAGCAAGCA